CCATCACAAAGCTGAACAGGAACTATATTCTAAAGCTCTATTTGGCATCTCAGAGCCTTGTCCACTGCATGTCTGGACTGAATTGTGTCCCCTGAGTCCATGTGCTGAAGCCCCCAGTACAGCCACATGTGGATACAGCACCTCCAGGAAGACAAGTGTGGTTACTCAGTTGGCAAGGGTAAGACCCGAATTCTGACACTGTGTGGCTGCTATCCTGTTAGGAAGAAGAGGGGTCTGTTATGATGATGCACACCTGTAATTCTAGCACTCCGGAGGCAGAGGCAGGAGGATTGCGAGTCTGAGGCCAGTCTGGGCTACATAGGGGACCCTGTCTCAAAAACCAGAGCTACCAGAGGTTGCCCTCTTTCTGCACATTGAGGAAAGGCCAGGCAAAAACTCAGTGAGTGCTCTCTCATAGCCAGGACAAGGCCACCAACCCTGGTGGAACCTTGATTTCAGATTTCAGTCTCCAGAGTACGAGCTAATGCATGCCTGCCGGCAGCCAGGCCTATACATCCTATCACATAGCCATGCTGACACATACAGTGTCAAATATGATTATTTCCTTTTGCTGTGACAAAATATCTGGCAAAAAGCAATGTAAGGTAGGAAGGGTTTATACTGGTTTACAGTTCTAGGGGATATATTTCATGATGGGAAAGGCACGGCAGCAGAAGGGAGAGACTAGCTGGTCCACTGCATCTGTAGTTAGAAAGCATAGTGCACAGGAAGTGAGCAGGGCTATTAAACCTTAAGTCCCGCCCCTCAGTGACCCTTTCCTCCAGCAAGGCTCCACTTTCCTAAAGATTACAGAACCCAGCTGGAGAGATGCCTCAGCGGTTAAGAGCACTGACTGCTCTTGCAGAGAACCCTGGGTTTGATTCCCAGCACCCACATGGCGGCTACAAACTGTCCTTAACTCCAGTTCTAGGGGAATCTGAAGCCCTCCTCTGACCTCCGCGGCACTGCATGACACGGGTGCACTCACATACATGCAGGCAATACACTCGTACACATAAAATAAAAATAATAAAATATTTAAAAA